CTGGTTAGTCGGAGTACAATGGCCACGGAGCCTGTGAAGTGAGTCAAAGAGTATAAAATACCTGGTCGTGTGTGAACAGGGGGAGTCGCGGGACAGAATATTCTATTACTGTACAAAGACGGCGATGCAGCGTGTTCTCACGTAGATGGGGCACGTACGCTGAGAATAACAGTCCTCACATCATCTGTCGGATTGCGGCCAGGAATCTGCTCCAATCGTGTTTGTCTCTCATCTTCCTCTTTCGCTTTTCATCCTCCTTTCCCTCTTCTGTCTGCACGAAGTCAGGAAGTTGGGGGTAATAAAAAGTTCGGCTATGAAATTTGGAGCTGCCTTGTATTAGGAACCGGTGACATTCGATGAATTTAGACACTGCTACATTTGTTTACCGCGCACCACCATCGACTGGCGGCCTGTCTGCCTCCGACGTCAGACTGCATTGCACGCGCAGGCTGAGTGTGACTGACAGGAGAGGCCGCGCAGGACTGTGGGTGCAGCCTGAGTGACAGGCCCGCCGCCAAATCTCCTGTGCGGACCCGGGGACTACGAGGGGGCCAGGTGTGTGTGTGTGTGATCGGTGAGGGCAGTAAACAGATTATTTCCTCTTCCAGGCTGCACAGGTACAGTGCAGCGGGAGTCCGCACAAGCCCAAACTAGTCCTATTAAGGTCTCCCCAGACTACAGTATATGCTATCAGCTATATAATGATCTGGTTCCACAGATGCTGGGTGGTGGAAACCAAAACAAACAAAAAAGAGTAATAGAAGACAACAGATGAGATGCTTCATGATGCTAGGAACTGTAAACAAACATTTCAGAATGGTTTTAGTGAGTTCAGTGACACATAGCAACTACAGCAATCCTTTTTGTATCTTTTTATTCAGTCTTAGTGGTGGAAAGGTGGTTAAGTTATAATTATTGAATAATTAACAATAACTCATTAGCCAATCGGACATGATCGGGACATTGATGAATGATAGATGCTGCTGTTCCATCACCCTCGACCTTGTTCTCAATTCTTACTCTTGTCATTTTCTCCCTCATTCGTATTCACCGTCATCATAAATATTAAATATATTAAATATATATATGTATATATTATATGTATATTATATATATACATGCCTGGTATTAGTGTAATTTTAGTTTAATCGGTAAGATCACTACTGCTTCAAGCCATAATTATAATAATAATTAGTGCAAGTTTCACATTTAGTTATCATTTCAACCGTAAGAAACATAGCTGAAAAAACCGATGTCATATAAATGAATAACTACAGAAAATAGATAAAGCACATCTAAATAAAACGTTGCTCATCTCTTAACACTAAAGTTGGTGTCAGGGTCCAAACCGTTGCACTTTGTGAACACACACTTGGTGTTTACATTTTATTCCTAAAGACCAGAGCACTGGATAAAAAAAAAAGATCTCTCTAGCCGCAGCTTTCCTGTGGGTGACAATGCCTTACTGATGACAGAAGTCAGAAGAGACCAGTCAGACATGTTCCAGCTCAGAGGCGGGTAAGAATAAAGGAAATAAAGCGGTAGTACTGTACACCAGCTGCGAAGCCACGCTGCTGGAATCCACTCCTGTCAGCTGATAACTAAGGGTGTAATGATTAACCAATTTGAAATCGACACTCTGGGCTTAATGTCTCAAATATGTGTGCATTAATTCAAATAGCTTGAACTGGGCTAAAGCTAGGAGGGACTCAGGGCTTAATCTGCAGATTTTTCTGCATTAGGAAAGCTTAATAGGACAGGCGTGTTTCTAGTTTAACTTTAGCACCTACTGGTGCCATTTTCTCTTGCAAGTCAAGGGAAGCCATTTACAGCGTTCCCTATTAGTCAGGCTATTATTGTCATTTTAATAAAAAAGATCATATATTTTCCCTTGTCATGTAAAAGGGAATATATTCCTGTATTTTTTTATTATGTGGAGAGCTTTTACCCATTTTTTGCTGTCAATTTCCTCAAAAGTACAGAGACATCATTCCTCTGTACTGAGCTGCTGCTGCACGCTGTTAAAGCCCGGTGACTGTTTGGGGCGTGTGCGACTGCTTGACTGACATCTCCCTGCCTGCCTTTTTTCCCCATCCCCTACGGTGGGACAAATTACACCCTTCGTGGTATACGGAGGCTGGCGACCTCGAGGAATTCCCGGCACAGCTCCATCCCCCTTCGACCCGATGCCCCGTTCACATCATATGGGATGGATGGTTGTAACGGTGAAATGTTCCCGTGTTTACGACTTGGCTGTGTGAGAGCCAACTGACAACATACTATTATATTCATTGAATATCAATTATGTTGATTGACAGGCACAATATGGAGGAGTCCGTTTGTTCGGTTTTCAGGCACTTTCGTATTATTATTAGGTGCCAAGTCGGATATATCAGAGCTTTCATAAAAAATGTCCAGTTGTAATTACGCAGGGAAAGGTGTCTTGGCCAGGCGGAGAAGAGTTCATGAGTGAGTCTGCTGCAGAGTATTGTCTAAAACAATATGCTGATGTGCTGATTGGCAGCACTATGTTGAAGCAAACACGGTGAGGATGCGAAGGAGCCTGCAGAGGAGCTGTATTGACCCAGGGGCAGATTCTCTGTCCTTCAATTGAGAATTCAGTGACGTTTCTGACAATAAATGGGTTTGCAATGCACAGCAGAACTTCTTTTTCCCAAGCAGAAGTCCTCAAAGCGGGTATGGAAATGTTTTAATCAGCTCAAGGTAGGGTTTGTTCCAAAAAACTTTGGAAAGTGCAGCACGACCTCCTGTATGTCAAGTTTAAACACCTCCAGCTTCCTGTGAAAAGCACACAGCACAGACATGAGGCCACTGTGTTGTTTCTACCCTGAAGCTTTAAAGCCACTGTGGTGGGATGTTACATCCGGCAGATTTCATTTTATTTTTATTGTGCAGGACACAAATTTGAGATTTTGCGTCTTGTTTTTTTAATGCTCAGACAGAAAGGGTTCGAAAGCATTGTGCGAATGGCCCCAAAACAACGCTCCAGTGCCCTGCCTTTGCAGAGCACCCTGACATTTTTGTGTCGGAGCAAATCATCAAAAGTTGCACCGACCTCTGTCAGAAATGTGTCTCATCGCGGTCGTCGTGACTTTTGAGTGCATTCCACCCAGACTAGCACACGGAAAACAGGGCGCGTTATGTGGTGATACATCAGACCGGGGCGTTGCACCGATCAGGTCACTCATGCACTCTTTCATTAGTTCAGTTTCGGAAAAAGGGCCTCTTGTGTTGGCGTAGGACTCATGCTACCCTCGGGCAAAACAAACGCGTACACCTTAGCCCATCATCCCTAAACGCACGGTTTTCATTGTAAGCTTTCTTTCTTTTTTGTGTATCGGCTAGTTTGAGTATGACGGTTTTTCTGTTTCTACCTGGAGCTTCTACATCTGATCTGACAACAGCCTTGCTAACTGTGGCTGAATAACGACAGGCGAGAGCGATGTGATAGCGACGACCGTTCGAAAGCGGTCTGGATCAGTTTGCTGAAAAATGTTGTTCCTGGTCCAGACTAAATTGTTTTGCTGTCCGGATCTGGACCTGCAGTCTGCGTATTGACTTTGTATGCAAAGACCTCATTTTTACTTGTCATAGCAAGAATAGCACAGGTGCAACTAATAATGTTAATGATGGCCTCATTCCATTGAAGTGTCCCAGTAAGCCAGCATGCACAATACCAGGGTCCCGAAAGTGGAACACCTGAATGGACTGCTGCCATGATTAGTTATAATAGTCACACCTGTGTTTTCCCTGAAGTGACACGGCAAAATGTTTGGCCGTGGAAAAAAAGGTCTCGCAGTGCTTTGGCACAAAGGCAGAAAATTTACTTTTACAATTATTATTATTATTTTTTAAGGTGAATCACATAAAAAACTGTAATTACCTTCGAGAATCAAAGATAATCACTAAAATTGGATAACTGAAGAGTGGGAACATTAGCTTTGCCTGGTTAAATCACTTCATATTAAAAAATTTAAATGTTGATGACAGGGCACAACCAGCATGAATCCATCACTCCGTCCTAGCTGGTGTACACAGCGCAGGCTGCTGGTGGGGATGTGTGGGGAGGTTTTGTGGCAGAACACAGTAGGGGCCTTGAAGCAATTAAACATAATTTTAATTCCACGGCATATGTGAATATTTGAGAGGTCACAGTGAAAGTGCCATTTTCCAAATGATATGAGACGCAGAGCTTTAAATGATTGTCCTTTCAGTCAAAACACAACACAGGAATCAGTCATAACATCAATATTTGTATAAGATTCACGCCGCAGAAAACTGATATTCTATATAAACATGTTTTCATTTCAAAGGGAAGAGAAAGTCAGCAGCGTAATTTAGAGAATAAATCTATTCACACTCGACTTGTACTGTAATTATCTCCTTCTTTTTTTTCCGCCAAAATGGAACATTAGTTCTCAGTGCTTGTTATCCAATAATTCATTTCAATTTGTACATAATTGAAAATGTGGGGAGTGGAAAGAACATTTAAGATGGGCAAGAATCTAGTAGGTTTCTGACTTTATAAAACAGCAAACACCCACAGGAAGGACATGACGCAGGAGGAATGTATAGATGCGGATATATTATATAAAATGACACATGTTGTATGACAGCATTGTGACTGAATATAGGATCGATGGATGTGCTAATGATCCTATTTTTTTAATACTTTACTTCCAGGAGAAAGACAGATCTGGGCTTATAAAAGTGACTTTTCATGAGATTGTGACAGAAGTTTCTGTTTCCCGTGATGATCTCAATACTGGTTCTAAATGTATTGCAGTCTGCAAAATCTACATTTTTTTTTTTTCTTTCAAAATGAAATCGGGAAAATATTGAATTATTCCAAAAGTCAGTGTGAGGAGCTGCTTCAATACATATTATTGACCTTCAGAAAACGAGACACGGACTAGTCCTCCGGCTCGGTGTGCCACAGAATCACAAACACTTTAGATGTGGTGTCGACATTCTCCTACCTCGGGGGTTGTTGAGCGCAGCTTCGGCGGCCTTCCTGCCCTCTCCGCAGTGGCTCTGGTCGAAAGGGAGACACTGCTCCCCTGTCCCGGCCACTACCTCCAGGTTGCGAGAGGGATCTTTCGGCTGGCCGAGGTTCCTCACCCGGTACACCCGGCGGCTGCTGGTGTCAGACACGTAAAGGACCTCCCCCATTGGATCCATGGCCAGGTAGTACTTATGAGCGGGGCTGGTGCTAGTGAGATAAAGTGTTAATAGGGAATTCGGTTCGAAAGGAAAGATAGTTTTAGACGGTGGCAAAGGTGCACTTTCCAATGACATACAGTGTTCCAAAGAGCATTTAGTTTGGCTTTTTAGAAAATGTTCATTTGTTTTCCTACTTACCCAAAGTGAGACTATTTATAAAAATAATAAGCAGCATTCATGACTAGACAGCACCATCAATTAAAGTGAAAGCATTTAGAGGCAATCAGGACATCCCAGTGATAAGCATTAGTATGAGAGACTCTGTTCCTGTGCTGGAACAATGTGAATGGCACATACGGCCACATTAGTAATCTCATTGTAAGGATGTTTGGCAAGAAGAAATGTTTCTGGGGATACTAATTACAAAAGTATTCAACCAACAGCGTGTGTCTCCGACTGACTGATAATCCCATGCAGCGAAGCCAAACCGAGCTAATCTCAACACATCTTCAAAAACACTATGATCAAATCAAATGAGAAAAAAAAAAAAGTCCCATTCTGTGTCAGTAGGAAAATTCACCACACAAGAACTGTAAACACTTTACACACGGAGAACTTAAGCCTATAGAATACTGTATACTGAATAAACCTGACGATCGCTTTTCTGCATGTCATGTTTAACAGTTAAATAATACCAATAATGTATGAACAATGCATTCACACCTACCACAGCAAAGGAATATTCTTTTAATATCAGGCTGGCTCATTTATTCTTTATTCAAATAAAGACATACGGGTTCAGTGTGTTCCTCTGTATGATGCTCCCCTATAGCATCAGTACAGAAACAGCAATGAGCTACGGTTGCTTACAATAATGTCAGGAAGATTGATTTTTTATTCTTGCTGTGATTTTCAAGTTGCTCGTCACATGTTCGTCAGCATAAATGTGCCCGCATGTCAGGAGGCGATAAGCACCTTTATGTATAAATGTATGTGCAGAGCGGAACTGCAGAATTCATGCATTCATCAGTCCTACCAACAGCTGCATCCTCATACTTGTACGATACGATACCTCTGTTGTGCATATTGAGAACAGGTTATGCTTATACGTTGTCTGTGTTTCTGTCTTTGGTTTTCATGTGTTCTATATTAATTGTGATAGTTGTAAAATGTTGTCGTCGTTGGTTGATTTTTTTTTATCTTTCACTACTATTGCACACAGTCCAGAATAGTATTAAGCACAACTAAACTGAGAGCGAGAGGAAAAACAGGAGGGAGAATAACAGGGAGAAAGGGATAACATGCAACTAAAGGTCCAGACCCAAATTAAACCCAGAACATTCATATAGCTAAATTTGTCCCGAGCCAAATGAGCCGTGCAGACACGTAATTATCTTTTGTTCTAGCTGTAATTGTTTGTTTATGGGAGGTGAAGAGAGGACAAAAGACAGGAACTCCATCCAGCGTAAGGCTCGACAATACAACATGTTGTGTGGAGGAAGGGCCACGGCACGGTCTTATGTAATTTTCATACTGTTCTAATAAGACTAAGCCTCGGGCTTTAGAAGGCGCACCATGAACGCTGACTTCATTTACCCTCACGTGGACTGTGAGCTGTATACTGTTCTCCGTGTAGGAGGAGTGCTCACACCGTGGGCACGTACCCGTGCAGAGGACACTCGACTTGCTTCTGTTCTGTACATTACAGTCTGCAGTTCATTCATTACAGAAGACCTTCGGATATTGTCGGGGTGTTGTTGTGTATTATTGAGACTGGAACACGGCGATCGCAAAAAAAAAATAACGTGAGGGAGAATTAGCATTTCGTCACAACGAATCTAGATCCAAGTCAAAGCCAAAGACACACCGTAACAGTGTTTTTAAAAATGATCTTGTCAATTAAAAAAAGGGAAATTAGAATGTCAAGAAAAATATTGAGAGTTACGGATGTAACTGCGGTTCTATGAATCCTGGATGACGGCCAAAGGTGGAGCTCAACACTGGACGGCTAAGAACTCTGGCGGCAGGTAAGGATGAGGTAGAACTCTCACATCATGCTTCTGCATAGTCTTCCTCAATTAGTATATTTACATTTTCTACAGACATGAGACCTTTTATATTTAACATTTTCTCACAGGTTAAAAAACAATTCTTATAATTGTTGGTGTGCTCTGGACCGGGTGTGCACACCGTAAGGCTATTCTATCTATTCTAACCCTTTACTCTCTTCGGAGAAAACTCACTTTCCGACATTCGCCTGAACTTTCTCCCAACCCAGTAAAAAAAAAACACTTGCAACATAGGCAAGGCTTCTGTCACTCATCCAGTCCAGTAAGTGCATAACAGTTTACAGAGCTCTGCACTGAACTGCACATACATAATTTAAACTTGATCCTGAGAGAGTTCCTCAGAGTTTCAAAGTGTGCCACTGCTCTGAGCGGCCCATCATATTTGTTGGGCCTCTTGAAGCCGCAACGAGCGTTGCGCTGTGCATATGGCTGATTACAAATCACCTGACCTGTCTTTTTCTCAATTAGATGCCCACGGCTCTGAGTACATTCATCCAGCGGAAGGGAAATGAACAATAATAACAACCAGCAGCAAAAAACAACAACAACCTGCCCTTGTTCGCTCCACACAAAATAACAAAGCAATGATCAGAGTTGATAGACTGTGATCTAGCTTGTTCCCGACTGTCTCTCTGAATCGACCGTCTGGGCTCTCAGATACTGTTGTACAGGACCTCCTCCCTTATTTGCTTTACTCCTCGCTCAAACTCTTGACGGCGGGGAGTAGACAATGGTTTCACGGTGAGTACATCCCATATTGTCTCCCCTCGGAGAACACCTTGTTTTGAAGCCCCGTCGGCTGATAGGCACTTTGCCGGGAGAGACCGCGGAGTGAAAAAGCTTTGAAAGTCGAATATGGATGAATAATTAATGCATTTGGACTTGGGAGAACAATAGTATGGAATAAAAGAGAAACATTAACATGCTTCTAACGGCAAAAAGCTGCTGCGGAGGAAAACAGGAGGAAGCAGGAGCTGAAGGAGAAACCTCCAGGGTTAGAAAAGGATATCCAAAGTGCCTTCAGACGAATTCAGTTGCTATAGGCTTACACCTGTGGTTCATAACATGACGTAATCCAACGTGTGCCACCCCCCCCCGCAGCTCTGTGGGAGTGCCCCTTCACTGACACCAGCTGTCATGTCCCAGGTGTGTTCCTATGAATTCATTGTAAAAGTTGATATAACAGTAGCTTTGACAATATTCTTTTCGTACAGTTGAATGATTTCAATTGGTGTGACAGAACGTAGTTTAATTTAGTCGATACTTTGGGTGGGTTTATTTTTTTCAACCAACAATTTCCAATGTTTATCGATCTATTTTAGTCATTTGCAAGCTGTTTCAACTTATTCTAGCAAGGTAACGAGTGTTATGCACTCTTAGGCCCTGTCTACACGTATACAGATAGTTGTTAAAGCGGATATTTTCCTCTATGTTCTGGCCCTGGAGCATCTGTTGAAGGTATGAGGTATCAGTACCACTGGTAGGGAATCACTGGTTCAGGCTATACAGAAGAAATTCATCATGGTATTCATCTCAGGCGCATTTTATATTTTCCCACTCGCAGACACATGTTCACACCCACACGTACAGTACCAGCGATAAACACACAGCCTGGTTATCCTTTTTTTGCATGCTTGGAAACGTTGGCATGCTGGAGATATGGCGTCTTGAAAAATCCTCTCTCGGATAAACCCTCTCCGTCTCCCATACAAAAACCCCCACAAGCATACACACACAATTGGCTTGATATAACCCCCGATAACAGCGCACACACACACACACACACACACACAGACCCTGTAACATCTGTCTAATCTTCTGTCGAACATGGCGTACAGAGCTCACACCACCATCGAGACTCGGGTCCAGGGACGATGTCGAGGCCGCGCAAGGCCTCGGGCTTTTAGCCCCGGCTCAGGGAGCGAGTGAGCCGCTGCATCCTCCAAACAGACTCCCAGTAATCCCCGAAAAACATGAAATCCTTGACATTTTGGCAGATTTCCAATTTGCAAATTTAATATCGCCTGGTGAAGATTTAAATGGGGATTTGATAGATCTGACTGCAGCCTGAGTATATGCAGCTTTTCCGTGTGGTGCGTTAGTGGGAAGAGAGGGAAAGTCAGGTCAATGCAATTACGCAATGTGCAGCAAAACAGACCAAGATGAAGTGCTTTGGGGGATTTTTGCAACGTGTCATACCCTTGACACATGTAAGTTCTGTGTATGTGTGTGTGTTTTTGTGCAGGAGCACAAAAGGAGGTGTTAATCACTAGTTCTCACCTGTGTCGGGTGTCCCGGTTCCTGATAATAAGCCATAAAGGAGTGTTGAAAAAGGAGAAAAGAGAAGGTAAAAAACAATCATTTATGATGCTAACGAGAGTCACTCTGAACTTCATAGGCTACAGTGACTCAATTTTCCCCTCATAAAGTGGGATTAGGGTTGATTTAGAAGGCTGTATTGCTTCACATTAAATATTAACCAAAACAGGAAGCTTTTTAACATTTCCTCCCAGAGGACAGGGAAGTATCAAACGCAGACACTATGAAACCTTCATCTGAACCAGAAATATTAGTCAGAGATACAATAATAACAGAGAATGAGAGAGTAAAGTTACATAAGGAGAACACTTTACAGGACAAATGACTGTGCAATCCCATCGAGATTCTACGCTTGAGAAAATACAGAAATAGAGGATGTAGCGCCTGCAGCGCAGTAGCAGATATCATCGTCATAATCCACAGAAGAAGAAAAAATATCTTTGTTTCACAGCAGAGACTTTCACATCCTTAAGAGGTAGATTAGAGGATGTGATGTCTGAATCTCACGCACTCTGCTTTTGCATGAAGACAACCGTCAGAATGTATTCTGTTGAGATCAAACAGATCACAACCGCCGATGCCAAACCAAAGCTAACGCCATACTAACCCACATCAGCTGAGCTCATTTATGTTGCGATTGTGCTCTCAATCCCACTGCTTCCTACCCACTGTGGGAGATCCCCATCAAGATCAAGTCTACTCCTATCACACACAAACGCGATCACGACTCTCACTTGAGCTCCAGTATGGTTCTGGTGTATCCGTCAGGATGGACCCTGCGGATGAAGTTGAAGTCCCCCACGTAGAGGGAGCCGTCGGGGCCGGTGGCCAGTGCCACGGGAGCAAACAGCATCATGTCCCGTGCGGCCCCGCTGCAGCTCGGACCGCAGGGGACACTCCGGTAAAAACCGTTCCCCATCACGGTGCTGATGACGGGAGGCTGCTGGGAGAAGAAGACGTTCTCTCCGTTTCCCTTGTGAAGGATTCCTGGGGAGGGAAGAAGGAATGCGATAAATACCTCAAAGGCCCCGACAAACACCTTTTCTCTATCGGCTTCTCGCTACGGGGGATGGGATGCTGCGTGAGCACGACATTCAAAGTTTGAAGAGTTTTGGTTATTCCACAAGACAGACTTTCTGTATTTCTTTTTGTTTAGTCTGCGCTCCTCTCGCTGGTTTTAAGTGGGTTTGGAGTCATTTGGAAAAAAGTTGACACTTGCTTCTCTGCAAGCTGTCAACGAATATTCCAAAATCAAATATATATTCGAAGAGTAAAAAAGAACAGATATTCAAATATGAAAATGTGTGAGAAGAAAAAAACCCCAGCACTACTGCGGTTTGTCTGCCTCGCAACACGACGGACTCCAACAACGTCACTTTCAGTAACTGATAATGAAATGTTACGTTTTACATAGAATCCCCACTGGAAGCGAGACGTGAGCGCTCTGTGATCCAATTCCACACACTGTTATGCACACACTACGGTGAACGTCTCCGCCTGCCTGTCAGCAGCAGCTCCTGTGGAGCCGAGTGGACAGCGGCTCGCTAACCTTCACCTGGCTGACTGACAGCAGACATTGAACTAAAACAGTTTTCGTGTCGGCTCCGTGGGAAGACATCGTCGGTGTTTGCAGGCCCATTTATGGATGATCTGACTTGTGTTTCCCCGCCCACCGTAGCGAGTGAGAAGAATCTGCCTGTGGTGAAACAAGCTCGGGGACAGTTTGGACACGGTGCCATGGACATAATGCGATAAAAAAGATACGAATAGTTAAAACCTATGTATTTCGTAATAGTAGAACGTCATATTTATGAGGTAACCTAGTCACTAGAACCTCTGCATTTCTGCTATCTTTATACACACATGTCTTTTGTAGTATGAGATTTGATGTACTCCTTCATGAATGTCAAATAAAGCAAACTCAAAATACATGTTTTATCCTGTAGCATTCTGATCTTTGTATATATGTATTTGGGACACAATGTATGTGATTGAGTCAAAGGAAGCAAAAAAACCTAAAAAAACAGTACACAAGCATATTATTGTCTCTCACCACTGCGTATGTTGAGGGCGTGGTGTTTGTCCAGAGACCACCCTCCCAGGTTCGAGGGGACCAGTTCAAATCCCTGCATCAGAGCAGTCCTCCTCTCCCACTGGATGACGCCAGGACACGACTCGTACTCGTAGCCGACAGACACTGAAATGCGAACACACACACACACACACACACACACACACAAAAGAGGGCTCGATGTAACTCGCATCAAAAGCTGTGTACTGTTGACCCGCCGTGCCTTAGCATGTTCAGCAGGAATGACTGTGTGTGGTACAGAACATCACTGCCAGACTTTAAACGCAAGCATCTCTCTCATAAACTGTTGTGTAATGAGTGGTGAGACAGATGAAAGGCCTGTGGCGAGACCTCATCATGTTATTTGAGAGGGATCAGTGAGAAGTGGAAGCGTAATCAGTAGGAGCCCGTCTTCATGAAGGAGCCCTACAATTAGCTGCTCGGCCTCTTAGTTGTAATGATACGCTGCGCAGCTTCCCACTACAAGTAACAACTGTCAACAGCTTCTTTTCTGGGGGGGGCTTGGCAGGATTAAACATATCACTTCAGACTTGGAATACATTTAAAAAAGGCAGCAGGTGACAAAGCCGTGGGAGATCTCGAAAACATGCAAGCACACAAACATACTCACGTACGTCATCAGCCTTTTTAAGAAGTGTTTCGTTCTGGGGGGGGGGGCTACTTGTTGGCAACCAGTTGCTTACGTGCAACAGATGCAGTGCAGCATTAGCATTCATTTAGCTCCATGTTTCTGGCCAACTGACAAATGTAAGTCCACTCTCCCTTTGGCTACCAAGTATCTGGCTCCTTAGCAGCTAAATGCTACGTTCACAAGCAAGTGAATCTTAAATGGCTCCGGTTTTTCTTTTTTCTTTTACACTGAAACCAGCTGCTTGCTGTGTCTAGAAGAAGAAAAAAGATGATTGTTACAGTGCGCTGAATCATTTTCTGTGACCTCATCACCACGAGTTACTTTTTTGAAATTACACTAAGTGGTTTAATCACTTGTTTCCATATAAATATTGTTCAGTGCTGCTTTAAGTAAGTCATGTATTCTACCACATGCAGAGTTTTAGATTGCTGGTTCATTTTAAAGTACCCTTTCACTGTGGGAGCGTTAAAAGTAAGAAGTCATTCCATCTTAATAAGTGACCCGGTCCTTCTCTCTCTGCATGTTCTCTGCTCTCTATTGGGATGAAGAGAGATGCTAACACGTAGCAATTTATTTGTCTGTCCTCAATCTTAACTCTCTTGCCCACACGTGTGAAGAATGCAAACACACTGGTTTAGCATATAATTAAAGCAGCAGGAGTTCAATACAGTGACAATTTAAGAGAAAGACTTAACATTGCTTAATTGAAGATAATGATGTCCTTTACAGTGAGGACAGCTGACAGAAACGTGCTGGAGGAATAGCTGTCTCTGTCCATCACTGCTCTGCACTGATCTGTCTGTTTACTTGCTTCATTGTAAACCAACGTGCCTGTGAATCGATGGGCACTCGAGGGGAACTGGAGAGCGAAGCCAGAATAAAGACCGGTGGAGATGGCGGAATACGCAAGTAGGGGCGCTCACGTTATGTACAAGCTCAGGAGATTCCCTTTCAGAGAAACTCTCGGCGAGGCGCATGGCGCCCCGACTTAAATTTTTTAAATCAGCGGTACAATCGATGAAGTGATTTGGGAGGGGAAAGTAATGGGTGATTTCGGACACTGGGGCCTTGTGAAAGAAAAAAAAAACACGGTAAAGTGCTGGACAAAAGTTCTTACTCCAGGAACTATCGCTTAATTACAGTCTAAAGGTTCATTTGTTTCAATTTCTTTGTGTGTCTTACACTCTAATAGGCTTGTGATCTTGAGTATTTGAAGGACAAAAACATAACTGAGAGTATAGTCAAATACACGTGAACATAAAATGTAACATACTGTGGAATCTCTGATCCTTCAAGTCACATTGCACCCCCCTTGAAGAACCTGTTTCATGGCCTGGAAACCAATCCATCCTTATGAAAATGCATCAAAAGGTTGCCATAAATACATTGCCGTCAGCAGGGACACTGTCCCGTAAAACAAAAGAAAAAGAAACAACCTACAATAACGCTGATTTTATTTGAGGAACAAGGCTTTTCCAGGACAAAACGGGCAAAGCAATCTCAAAGGGACAGTGTCAGTGTTTTGAGAACTGCTTCACAACCGAATATTACTGCGGCTACATTACAAGACGCGACACACACACATCACACACACACTCTCTCGCTCTCATACAAACAATACCCATGCACACTATAATACATGAATGCACACTCAATATCTCACAGGTGACAGCTTTCATTCCCCTCTGCTGAAGCCTCAGGCGATGTGTTCACCCCAGCAAACAGAGCATGATCTCCCTTCCTCTTGTTCTCTCTGGCTGTGTGTGAGAATATGGAGTGTGTGTGTGTGTGTGTGTGTGTGTGTGGACGCACACACGTGTCAACGGATGCGTGTCTGTGTTGTTGTGCCAACAAAGCGCAGGGATAGATTAGCGCAGGAAGCGGGTAGGGAGGGGCTGAAGCCTCTAATATTTAGTGACAAATGTGGTAAATTTGAAGAATAAACTGTTTTTTATATATATATATATATATATATATATATATATCTAAGCACCCTGACGTTTAGGAGGAGCTGCTCAACATTAACTTGCCACATCCAAATAACAGCCCAGAAAAGATACACTTAAAGCAGGCTCCATGGAAAACAAGGACAAAGCATCCAGCAAGTCTTTGGGCTCCATGCTGTGGTATCGTGGGGTACTTGTGTCCCATAATATTTTGGTCACTTTATTAGTGAAAACGCATCCATATAATCCACACAAACCCCTGTATTTATGTTTTGTTCGTCTTTCCACTTTGATGCTATATTTTTCAACCAGCTGACACAGAAAACACAGTTGTATTCATGTTGTGGCATTTAATGCCAACAGGAGTGATTCCTAGCAGCTCTGTTATCTTAGACAGCGAGTGTACACTGAAGGCCTTTCCTTTGCTTTAGTAGCTCTTTAAAGCCATCTGACGGCAACAGGTATCCGTTCCATCTAAAGTCTCTAACTGGAGTGACGTGGCTCAGATCGGCTGCATCAGCCTGTTTGCAAAATGACCACAGAAACCGCTGTGCTTAGTATGTGCTCAGCGAATTTGTCGTTTTGTTAATTATTCTATAAATAAACAGGCCTGTTGGTGCCAGACGCATTCATACAGTTTCATGAATAATTGTGGAACACTTAGAACTTCTTTCTCTCTGCTAATAAGTCCCTCAGGAGGACAGACCGTTCCGGCCAGTCTCTATTCAAAGCAGTGTGTAACCGGGGCAACAGCTGCCTGCTGTTAAACGAGCATCACCTGAACACGTTATTATTCATAGTGCAGGCTATAGAGATTAGAGAAAAGGTTAGAGATGGTTTCATAGTGTTGTTCCCAGAAACAAAAGACTGTCATTTTGTAAATCACAATTGTATTTGTGGGCCATGACCAGGATTTCAGTTGTGTTGCAGTCGGAAAATGTAGCAAATATTTGTGCATTATTAACAAACGACAAAAAACTAGACCGGGTATTAAATTCTACTTCCACTTTGCTTACGGCACTGCTGTGGTATTTAACTGCAGATGTTTTATATGGATTTGTTGACAAATAAAATCCGGCACTACTATGCACGGACAACGTGTTGACCAGCAGATCCTCAACATGTCCACTTAAGTGAATCCAACGCCTGTGGCAGGATATCTCTGGGCTGCCGTGTTCATATTTGAAACTCTGCAGACAACAAGTTTCCTCAGAGGAAAGCTCTCCACAGGATTCTCAAACTGTCATCATGACAGGGGGGGGGGGGGGGGCTCGCTGTTTAAAAGGGGATGAAAGTAGTGAATATGATTGGCCATGATTGTCTCGGCCTCTAACGCACCCACATCTAATTCTCTCTGATCCAACCCCGTGGCCTCAGCACGCCACAGGTGTGCCAAACGGAGCCTGGCCACGAAACGACCAAAAGTGTGTTTGGCACGCTCCTGAAGGGCAGGGTGCACTTGACTGGGATCGTGGGCACTGCAGGGTTCATGAAGACTAAGCTCTCTGTGTCTTTCTTAAGCACAAACCCACTTACGGAAAAAAGAAATGTAATATTTAACCTGCCGTAATATTTTTTTCCCACAACTAGAGTCTCAGTATAGCGTCTTCTAAACATTAATACACGCATTCATGTAAACGGCTGCACAAACGCACATATCCAGGGCAGCACCCCCGCCCCACTGAAAATATGTTTTCAGTGGCAGGAACTAAAGAGAGGGAAGAATCAGGGGAAACATGGGTTGAGAAGAGAGAAGAAGGGAGGGCAGGAGGGAAGACAGGACAGAAGCAATGGGGGAGATCAGAGAGAATGAAGGAAATAACAAGCGGGGAAGGGAAGAAAATAGAGTTCAGTAGAAGACAGAAATGCAGGAAACACGGCGAGGGTGGAGGAAGAGAGGAGGCGAGGGAAGGGGGTAAGAGGGGCAGGGAGGGAGTGAGTTAGGGAGAGATGTTGTTCAGCAAAGCACGGCGAATAAATAAATAAAAATAAAAAACAGGATCATAGGAGTTGAGAAAAAAGGTGAAAGATCAGTTGAGAGCTGGAGCAGATGAAATGCAGCTCTAGCAGATAAGGAGAGGAGGGGAGGGATCAGGAGGAGAGAGAAAGCCTCGGGACGGAGAGATGCAATCTTTATACGAGACCATACACTCGAGTGGACAAAGCTTCTCGTGCGCCTGCGATATCTCAGCGCTTATGGAAAGCTCTTTCTCGCAGCTCCACTGTTTGTGTACAACCTTCCACACACACACACAAAGAAAAGCGGCGAAACATTATCCCTCAAAATTACCGACAGAAAGTTGACACGTCTAACCCTCGATGGCGTCTTTAAACGGGCCATTTTTGCCGTGATGAACCAAGGGCGGTTCTATAACCAGTATGTCTTTCTTCTTTCTTCTTGCACAGGTGAGAGAGGACATTGGAGAGAAGAGACGATGGGCCACATTCATGAAGCCGTGTACAGAGTCGTATTCTGCAAACATTTTGCTCCACAGAGCCAGTTCTGTCAAAACGGGCCATTTCCTGCCACTGCAGGTGATTTCTTTACTCCCAGTTCTCTCTTCTCTGTGCAGCTCTAGTCCACTCTGTGCTGTCTCAAGGTCCTGGTGATACAGAGTCTAAACTGCCCACTGTTCATGTGCATGATCCATGAATTTCACGACTAATGATATTTGAACTAAAGTGGACACGTCCTTTCATTCCGGTAACTCTGCAGTTGTCAAACCCCCTATTAAAGAAAGTAGCTGTAATTATTTACTATCGGGCAATCTCCAATCTCTCACTTCCCAGCAGGAGACCGTCCATTAACAGCTGGTTGATTACCTACTGAATGGTCACTCATTGGTCACAGGACGACTTCCGATCAGGCTTTTGTGCAAACCGCAGGGCTGAAACAGCCGCTCGAAGGACATCAGAGCTGTTTGGGGGAGTGAAGCAATTTACCTCTCTGGTATTGGTGGATTGGAGCATTTGATGCATGGACAAAGACATGGACTTTGTTCGTCCATGTCTTTGAAAGATGACCCGCTGTAATACTGAGCCACAGTCGCCTTTGTATTTACTTGGTTCGAATCCGATTTAAAAGGAAGACATTTCACTGGATCTCTCAGCACTTTGTAAATACTGAGCTGTGCAAATATATTTTCCCATAAGAATCCTTCGCCCTGTTTTAGGGAACGGTTTAATATTTTTGGGAAGGACGCTTATTCGTATTCTCGTTCGTAAGTTGGGTGAGAAAATCCACATCCACTCCCATGCCTGTGCATGAAATATGCAACGAGAGCAAGGAGAATATTAGCTTAGCAAACAGTGGGAAACAGCTAGCCTACCTCTCTTTAAAGTTCACAGATCTGCCCATTAACACCTCCAAAGCTCACTAATTACTATTTTATATTCTGTTTGTTTAATCCATACACAAACAGAAATGTAAGAAGAAAGATGACAGAGAACAAGTGGATGGATTCCATGGGAACTGAGGAGGTTGCGTTTACCACACACGGTCAGTGTCTTGTGTGTTTTCCATGTTTTCTTATTTAAAATAGAAATAAGAAAACATTTGGAACGGGTGGTTTACATTCTACCTACCAGTTGCGTGAGTGAGGCCCCAGACCTCCTGGCCATAAATATCAGTCTTGTTCCAGACCAGCCTGTGGACCAGGCCGGGCCCGGCGGGATACCAGCGCTGGTACAACCTTCCCTGGACCGATGCGCGGACATGCACCTTGGAGAGACCGCCCAGCGGGGAGACTGGGGACAACAGTGAGGGAGGTGTGAGGAGGATTCTAAGCAGAGAGAGGTAGCCTGAGGAACGGGTGCTCAAATAGCTCAGCTTGGAAAAGGCCCCGGGGATTGAAACTTCTTCCTGCACCGCCTGGGGAGAACGAGGGAGGGAGCAGAGTGAGGAATGATAGAAGAAGGTGTTGTATCATTACTTTGTTTACTTAAATAATGAGCTGACAGGCAGGTACAGGACTACAGAGCTCACACAGTAAAGTGCAGGGAGAACACCAAATATGTCACAACGAAGAACGTTTTCATTTTCTTTCTTTGAGAACTTTTTTTTTTTAACTGAATGAATAATGATATCTGTCCGTATCCACGAGGGTTTTCTTTTAAAGAAAATGTCTATATCCTAAATCCTGATAGAGTAGCAAATAAAAGGCCATGCTCATTCCTCTAATAAACGGTAAACTAGCTGCTGCAGCAAACATTGATTCATCCTGTACGATATTTCTCTTGGCTGAAATCGGATACCGTTTGAGTACCTTCAATCAAATTATCTCTGAGACGACTATCTCCGACTCATTTTTCCTCTGAAGTCTAAAGGCTTAGATTCCATTTTCTTTACACGCAGTGAACACGGTGGGTGTAACTAAGCTTACAGGGAACACCAAGTACTGTTCCTCCCGTTCATTATTTATGTATTTTTGCAGCCTTTTTTATCCGGAGGTGTTATTTGTCATGAGGATAAAATCTTCCTTCATTTTGACTATGTCTTCAGTCACAAGGGGCTTGAACTTGTGCAGATGCTGTGTCGTGGATATGAATGGTAATGTAAGCAAAAAAAACAAAAGGATGGTGTGATCAAGGCACACTCTGGATATAACATTCTTTGCAGTCTATCGCGTGTCCAGGTAACAAGAAAACAACTCTCTGTGTCCTGGGAATTTTAGTTGGTACTGAAATGAGGTCGGGTTGAGGTTTATGGTTACTATAAAAAAAAGAAATCTTTGGAGTCACGTCGGAGGGTAAATATATAATCACCAGTCTGACCTCCACACCTGACTTTCAGCCGCCTAATTTGCCTTTGTGGTGGGGAAGTCTAAGGATGGAGTGCTAATTTGCATTTTGCTCATTCCTTATTTGCATGATGCAAATACGGAATGAGCTAAATTTGCAAAAGCCTGTGAGACCGGGTTGGTTTGTTGCTGAGCTGTAACAAATTGAGCCGAAGCTTCATTTTCACTGCCTGCCGTCTGTAGACACGAAGCATTGAATTGTTACAATATAGACCAGTGACGACATGCTCGGCTCAGTCTGCAGATCCCTGATGCTGAGCCCCCTCCCCTCCATGACGTTCATTTTGGTTATTCAAATTTCATTATCATTGAACATCTGCCAAGTGTGAGGTAGATTGGATGGACAGCTCTTGAGATATGCAAAGGACATACCAACATAGATTACTCGCTTTATAATTAGATTTTCTGATTATAGTTCAGTAGTTTCGTACCTGCAGCTCCGGCACAGCCGGCCCCTTCTCTGAACATGCTCCGGTGTATCTGGGGAGCGGGTAGGGCAGGACCAGCGGGTACGGACTCAAAACACTCCTGATGTCACATGTGAGAGTTTGCGCTTCCTCCCTGGACATGGTCACCTGGTCCAGGACCAGGAAGTTGTTGTTTGGCGTCCAGATGGTGCGCGTCTGCGGCAGGAAGGGTGGCCGCTGGAACATCAGGGTCACAGACATCGCGCCCAAGGTAACCAGGTCAAAACTAGAGTCAGACGACAGGAAGACAGAATAAGAATGGAGTGCAAGGGAAATAATTAAAAAGAAGATGATATTCTTTTGTGTATATTTTGGGTGTGGATGTCTCTACCTTCCGTCCTGCCTGCTGATAGTGTAACCGTACTCTGGATGCTGTGGGAAGGTGATGTTAACTCCAACCAGAGGCGAGCCGTCCTGCAAGGAGACGCTGCCTCGAATCACAGCTACCCGGCTGGAAAAAAAAAAAAACAGACAGGAAGGCGAGAGGGGAACAAGAGAGAAACACAAAGAAAAGGCAGAGATGCCTGGTTTAGAATGATGGAAAACATAATGACTGTTTGAAGAGAGAAGGCACATTGTGCCGAGCGACCTTCTGCGTGCAGAAATAGCAAAACTGCATTTATTCTGCTCAGTGCAATTCCATTCTTTAGCACAATGAAATCTGCCAGATGCCAGGATACAAGGACCATAAATATAGCTTCACCCACGGTAACACCTTTCAGCACCCTGTCATACAAAAACAAAACACACAAAAAGAAAACTTCGGCATCATGTTTATATTACAGTGACAGTGGTACCTGCAGCAGAAAGGGCTGTGTTGTTCTTTAAATAGACCGTAAACTATCAGTCACATCCAGACTGTTTTGAAAGATTCATCTTGATTTTGCACGTAAAGTGTGAAATACGCTGCTTAAATCTGGAATAATCGTTGAACTGGTCAAATGAAGACAGACTAGGGCAGACACATGTGGTGTACACACACACGTTCATCGATGGAGCCTATCTGTTATTCCAGAAGAGGGATAAATGAAGGATGGTGAGGTTTCTCCGGGTGGCTGCGTTGCCCCGTTTGTTACTCTTGTCCTGAAAGCTGCCATCGATTTCCCACATTATTAATTAATTTGTTTATTCTTCAAGTGAAACGGAGAGGGGAGGGGGGGGGGGCACTTTGCCATTTTTCAGACAGGCATCACTTCTTGTTTGCCGAACCAAACTTTCTAGGTCATCATCTCTCCGGTGATGTGTATTTCCTCCTGTTAGATGGAAGTGAGAGGCCACTGAAAAATTAATGGGGACACCCTTGTGAATGGTGAAACCGAAAGACATTAATATGTAACAAACAAATACTCTAATGCAGTTGTAGCCCGACACCGATACGCGCTGCCGTGCCACCGCTGATCTCCAGGGGAACACAGATCACGAAGACGTGTGCGCAGACATGAAAAGCCTCATTCACATGCAAACACGCACGCTTTCATTAAACAAATAATGTGCGACGGACGATCCGGCGCATTAATACAGATGCATCTACTTCATTATCCGCACCTCCTGTCTTTCCGCGTACTATATAGGAGGGCAGCTCAAGGACACAGGCGCCCAAAACAAACACATGAAGGTATTCGGCATGCATGCGCAGGGGTCCAGGCAAACAGAGAGCACGCCACGCACATACCTGGTATCGAAGGGCACGTCTCCGGGGAGAGTGTGCGTGGCCGCCTTGCCGAGGAGGAAGCGTATGCGGCGGTAGAAGCTGTGAGCGTGCGTGCTGGTGGGCGGGGGGGGATGCGGCGGGCGGCGGCGGGCTCTGCTGCAGCAGGGCCAAGGGGTCGGCCGAGCCGTGACACAGGGGGTCGGAGCCGCAACTCAGCTGCTCGCAGCAGTCCGGGTCCACGCAGTCAATGAGGCCATCTGAAATAGACAGGAAGTCACACCATTTATAAAATAAAAACGCTTTAAATTAAATTAACATACACTTTAAAAAGAAAAAAAAAAAAAACAGCGTTTTATGAGGAGTTGCTTGTTTAGAGGGTTGCTGGAATTTACACAGTTCATACAGGCGAGACATTACCATCTTTATTGTGCATAGCCAATAAAGGCTTTAATAGATTTAAGTGGCTGAAGGTGCTGACTCTCAAGGCCAAGGTACTGTATATATCCGCAGTGGAAAGACGTGAAGAAGACACCATAAAGACCTGCCAAGAAGTCATTTTCACACTGCTCGGCCGGTGAGAAACTCTCCTGGAGTAATATCATCTACGACAATGAACTGCGCACGAATCATCATAACCACGAGTATCAATCAAACGAGATGCATTAGGGGCCGTCAGCGCACAATTATAGCATCTATTGTTATAAATCTGAATCTAAAAGACCTGAATCTCCAGCATTATTCGAGAAGTTCCGGGGTAAACAATGAGCCGCGGATACGAATCGAGGCGGCAGGTAATGGGAGCCGGGCTGGCATTTGTGTTTCCTATTTCAAGCCTGTTTCTGAAAAGGCAGGAAGCGGTGCTGACATTTAAATGCATCTGACCACGGAGCAGAGAGCGAAAGGCCAACAATATTCTATTATAACCTCCTCCCACAAAAGGTAGAGAAGTACAATGGCTGATTTCCATAAGATTCACTACTTGAACTTGAAAGCACACTATTAATTGAAATTCTAATATCACTATCATTAAGAGGACGCACACGTTTGTGGCTCATTATGCAGCCACTGTTGTTCACCATTGCACACAAAGGACAGTGAAAATGAACATATGTAATGCATATATTATAAATATGTATGATTACGCTGCCTGGTGTGGAAAAATACTGTTCTGTTTGGTGATTTTTATCCAAGAGGATGAACAATACATGCGCTCCGCTCTCCCATCCAGGCGGAATAATTGAAACTCTCTCTTCAGAGTTCCTCTTTATTCTCTGATTACTTGTGATAGCATCTTTCCATCTCTGTCTATCTTCAGAGACAAAAAGATTGCTGCGAGAGACGGCATATATGAGTACCTACGGTATATCTGCCAATTAAGGGAGATGGCTGAATTGTGCGATAGAAAATTATGGTATCTGGAACACTGTGCAGGATAGCAAGATAAGAGAAGTGTAAGTGGTCTCCATAAGGCTTTGTTAGCGAGTCTTTCTCAACAGTTTGATACCTACAGTATATTCACTTCATCAATATTCATACATTACAATACTATATAATGTCATGCAGCATGTACTGTATATAGCTTTTTGCACAAAGGGCAATTTATTGTCATGCAGAGAGAAAGCCGTCCCTTCCGCCACCCACTCACCACCTCAACCTCCACTTCCTTCTTCATACAGTCAGAAAGACAATGCTATAAATCAAGTCAACACATATGTATTAAAGGGATAGTCGACTGGATTTATAAGAGCAACATCTAAGAACCATAAAAATATGAATAAAGAAATTGCCATATTCAAAGCAGCTGAGGTATCCTGACTTTTCCAAATTTGGGATAAGCAGAATCTCATAATGCAAGGGAGACCCTTCCTTGCAGCGAGTCAGATGAGAAGATCCACACTGCTCTCATATCTGACCAACAGCCAGCTGGGGGGGGACTGCTAGCCTGGCTCTGTTCAAAAGGAAACACAATCTACCTACGAGGATCTCTGAAGCTCACGGATTTAAAATCTCAATTGTTTAATCCATACAAAAAAAAAAACCCACAACAGCAATTTGTTGTTTTAATGGCGGGTTATATGACTACTTCTTAGTGACTTCCTGGAATCGCGCAACCTCACGGGGACGACGAGACTCCAGGAACCTGCTGTTCTTTATATCCAAGGCAGGGCAGGTGGATCGATTGTATCGATCTTCTCATCTAGCTTTCTGCGGGAAAGTATATTTCCTTAATGTCGAATTATTCGTTTGACATCTACATTCTTTGTTTGTTTTTCCTTTAAATCTGTAGCCTCCAAATCCAAGCTGAGACAACCTGCGATGACGTCATTAGGGATATTTATTTCAGAGCTGACGAAGCTGCAGAGCCTCAGAAGGAATTATGCAACTGTTTTCACAGGCTGACTCGTGCTCTTCATGACCAGTAGACCTTCATGTGTAAAATCGATCGGCAGCGTGAGAAAGGGTTCACTTTGTTTAAGGTGTGACTGAATTAAACGTCCATACAACGATGTGCAAATGTATTTGGAGCACAGTGTGACGGCGCTTTAACACTTCTCTCACTCCTCTCAAACACCACGGAGTAAACGTCCGTTAACAAAGCAAAATCAGAACAATGATGTAATCCATTAAAATAAAAACCATCAGTGCCGACGCTGTTGACAGGCCGCCGTCCTGCTGTGAGTTGTTTCCTTTATTCAGGCCCTAGTTTATAGTCCACCAGACATTTCTTATAGCCTGGCTCTAGGGTTATAATCCAGGGTAAGGGCCTGTATTTCATGTTTGGAGGAGCCGTCTACGCCGACTTTCTGAAGCTCCGGCTCAGTCAGTCATGCAGCTTTGGTAAACAATGTGCAGAGGGGAAGAAAAAGAAACGGTTACATTGCAGCTATCAGCAGCACTCTGCACCAGCTGGAGAAAGTACTACAAAAAAAACTATGTATGCGTTTGAGGTTTCCCTGCTGCTGTGTGCTCTCATCACAAAACGTGGATCCATGAAAGAAAACTAGGACGTTTTTCCTCTAAACAAAAGCGACACTACCTTGTTTGGTACGACGGATTACAACGCCGGCTTAACGGGCACGTCCATAATGGATATTTGATGTTTCAAAATGCATGGGCACAGTTGAACGTGATGTATTAGCGCACTACATCCTGAACCTTACATTATGTGTCGGAGAAACAGCCTCGGATGGGACTGAAATGGAAAGGAAAACGATTGCGATGAAATGTTCCTTTCTTGTCTGTTCACCTGAGGATAGAACGGCACAGCTACGAGGCTGAGCGACACAAACCTCTCACCTGTCACCAAGACACCTCGCAGCCAGAGAAGCAGTAATCTATTCCGCAGTTTTTTTCTGTATTGTGACTTGAGAAAATTTCTCAGAGGGCCTTTTATCCTAGCAGGTGGTATGCATATCAGACATTTAGCTGTGATGAGAGGGGAAAAACAGACGCACGCACCACGCATGCACACACACACACACATACATATTCAATATAATAATGACCAGCGGGACTCTACAGGCATCTCGGCAGGATCGGGACAGCACGGGAAGGATGCAGGGGAGGAACGACGAGGCAGATTTCTTTCGGCAGGAGAAACAGGAGGAGAACGTAATGGAATGGAATGGACAATCTGCCACAAAGACAGAAATGAAAAGAGGTACGAAAGAGGAAAAAAAAGGGGATAGAAAATGATAGATGATGTGAGAATGTCACCTCCGTCGTTGTCTGTTCCATCACTGCAGTCAGTTTCCATGACAACGCTGCATCCAGGCCCGCTCCATCCAGCCTGGCAGACGCAGCGCCAGCCGCTCTGCTCCAGGGTACAGCGGCCGTGTCCGCTGCACAACCCTGGGCAGCCGTCTGAAAAGGTGTGACCCACATGCACACACACACACACACACACACACACACACACACACACACACACACACACGCACACACGCACGCACACACACACCACACACACACATTTTGGGCATTTGTGAGCATGTCAGAGGAGCAGAATATGACATTTTTATGCTGAATATAGATGAATTACCTTTCACAACGACGTCCAAGTCATGAGTAACTGAGAGGGAGAAAAAAAGGTGAGAATTGTGTAAGAGAAAATAATTGTAACAGTGACACCTTTTTGAAGCCTATCACACTAATCAAAATATCACAAGGAATAATCCAACACTCCCACGTGCGCACACACAAACAAACGCACACACACACACACACACACACACACACACACACAGCTCACCAATGTTACAGTGCTCTCCCTCCCAGCCAGGCTGGCAGATGCAGGTCCCGTCGTGGCACTGGCCGTGTTCTTCGCAGCGAGGATGGCATGCTCTCTGGTCGCACGCAGCGCCAATCCAACCCTCCTCGCACTGGCACTGGCCCTCGGAGCAAACGCCATGGCTGCCACATGGCACCGGGCACAGCTCTGCCAAACAGGTGGGTGGGTGGGGGGGGGGGGGGGGATACGTGTGAGAAGAAGAAAAAACAAAAAAAAGGGTGCGAGTTTGAGAGGGAGGGAGGGAGAACAAGAGGCGAGGGGAGCAAATGGAGGAATCGAGTAAAGGAAGAAAAGAAAACGGTAAAAGAGGCACAGGGGACATGTAGAGGGGAAAAGTTAAAAAGGAAATCCTGAATTGGGGGCGAGACATCGGAGAGAGGTGAGAGAGGAAAAAAAACTAGCGATAGAAGAGGATAAAAAAGGTCTACTTTCTCACAATACGTAATCTTCGCACCTCTAATAGCGGAGCTCCCTGAAGGAGGGGAAGAGTGAATAGACTCATAATAACAGCCAAATGATTCGTATTTGCGCCGCATATTTAAACTACAGGGACTCAAATTCAGCTCTATTATTCTTTTCTGACATTTTGATCAGATTTGGTGGGGATGTTAATACCCTTTCTTTCCCTTCATCTCTCCATCTTTGTCTCTGTCAGCGTTCTCTTTTAAGTATCCCTCTCTCCATCTCCCTTGCAACATCCCTTTAAATTTCGTCCCCCCCCCCTCTCTTCTCCTCGCTCCCTCTCTCTCGCTGCAGAGGCAAAGCCTCATCCATCAGTAAAGAGAGCAAAGTGCTGGGGGCACACAAAGACTACTTATCCAGCTGCAGTAAAAAAGTTATTTCAATTTAAATATACATAGCATGGAGAGGGAGGAAAAAGTGGATTAAAGTTAGAGTTTTTCAGCTCTCTATTAGAATTACATTAGCTTAGCTATGCTTCAACAAGACCAGGACGTAGCATGGCAGGGTCCTTTTGATTAAAAGCCCGGCAGGTAGAGAGAGGCCGCTCATATCTCAGACACTCAGCCACGGTCTATCATTATCATGGGCTATATCACTATAATAAGGCGTGCATGCACCTGAGAGCGGCGGCTAATGCCAATTGCCTGCAAATCATTGGTGTGCACGGTAAGGCGGATCCTTTCCCCAACACCAGCGTTCAGTTAGTGCGGCGGAAAAAGAGGAAAATCAGAGCTATAATGGCTATTTCCCTCTCTGTCAGTTTACACTTGAAGGACAAGGACACTCTCCTCACTGTGCACCGCAGAGTACAGCATTCTATATATTTGACACGAGAGAAGACATGCTGTACTGTTCCCCTTACAATGGCTAACTCGCTTGCCTTTGCTGCACTGCCAGTGTAGAATAGCTGGCAGAGTTTATGGAGTTCAAAGGAGATTTCATGTAGGTGTGCATGTAAGAAATCTTTTACAGCTATATCCAACAACCACGCACTGACTAATATGTATAGCGTGCAGGTAACGGGGTCTGAAATAAACATCAGCAAGCTCTTAAATGCCGAGCCGAATGTTCCTCAGAGTATCTCTGAAAGGCCTCGCAGCAAAGTGAGAATAGAGGTCTTTTTCTTTTCCCCAGCCTGCCTTTCTTTTTTCTTCTCTACACTCATTTAGCTGAAGGGAACGTGTGTGTGTGTGTGTGCATGTGTGTATGTGTAAATGCGTGTTGCACTATAAATGCGCAATAAAGTGAGTGCCATTGCAAGGGGGTGGCTCCGGAGCATCATGAGGGGAAATTTCATTTAAGACCAGCATGAAGAAAGTAAAAAAACACACATGCATGCATGCACACACACACACACACACACAAACACACACGCTGACACATCTCACAGGGTGGCTCCGGTCCATATTTCTCTCTCGTGTCTATCAAATCCCCACAAAATAATATCTGGCATGCGTGCTACCACACTAGCACACCAACACTAGCATTCTAGAGATGTGCAATGGCGATTTCCTGTTTTTTTTTGTTTTATGTTTTTCTGTGAGTGAACATATGATCCTCAGGTCTTACCAGTGTAACAGTCCGGTCCTGTCCAGTTGGGCTGGCAGGCGCAGGCGTCCGACTCGGGTAGGTAGGTGCCATGTCCCGAACACTGCTCCTGACAGGCTGGCAGCGGGTCATCACAGCTCACTCCTGCCCAGCCTGCCGAGCACACGCACTCCCCGCGCACGCATACGCCGTGCCCGCCGCACTGAGGGTCCACGCAGTCCACTGCAGAGAGAGAGAGAGAGAGAGAGAGAGAGAGAGAGAGAGAGAAAGAGAGAAAGAGAGAGGACAAAAGGAAGAGTGAGGATGAGTCAGAGGTGAGAGTGAAAGGGTGGGTAAGTGGGGGAGGGGGGGGCTGGTGTGCCGGCCTCATTATAATCATCAGTTCACCGAGTATGAAAGCAGTGTTCTTTGCATCCCATCCAGGAGTTAACCACCCCAGCTACAATCCCTGTATCTGTTCCACAACATTACACTTCATAGGACACTTAGAACTGAGGCTTTGATAAGGGGGTGAAATGGGTTGGTTTGCGTGTGTGTGTGTGTGTCATGGTGGTCCGCTCTTCGTTGTGTTAGCGTGTGTGTAATTACAGCTCCGAGTGCCAAGCCAAAGCTCAGCACAGTTCGGCTCAGCTCAGCTCCGCCGCTCAAGGTCAAACACCTGATTTCGTCTCTGCAGGCCGAGACACCGGAGGCGACAGCAGGGCGGTCTCCGGGACAGCTGTGCCATCAGGTTATCGTCAAGTGTAACATCATAATTGTTTTAGATATCATGGCTTTGTTTGTTTTGGCTAATTTATTGGGTGGTTTTACAATGGACAGCTGCAAGGGGAGGTTGTGACAAAGGCCCACAGCTGGTTTCCTGTACGACTGTGAGGTGCCTGAGCTACCTGAATCATTGATGGTCTGGTCATTTCAACCCAAGGCCTTTTTTTACTATCTTTACTTTAAGGTTTATGTCTTGGCTACAATAATATCACAGTATGTCCAGTACATAACAAATACACAGTAAATACATAGAGGGATACAATTCCAAATTGTTTAGGTTTTTGATCGTGATGAGTCTATAAGAACCGTGTTGATAGGACATTCTATGCTTTAATATTGTCAGAAAACAGCCTACATTTGTTAGCTTTTCGCTGAATCTGCACCATGAAAGGTTGCGCTGAATTAGCTCCCAGCGGTTTGTGTTTGCACTGTAATCACTGTAATCATGAACGAACAGACAGCAGTCACCGTCATAGCTTTTGATTTAGGGACATGTATCCTTGATGGACGTCCACTGAAAGAGGAAGTGTTGCAGATTCCAGCCGCATGTATGATTCATCTGCATTTCAATTTGACAATGATGACACTGTCAAGATTAGGAGAAACTGATTTAAATGAAAAACGATCTCAACTAAATTAGGTTCAAAGATATAAATCAGCATTAAAGTTGCATTAATTGTCCACTTGGGGCCAAAACACAACACTGACCTATTATCACTTTAAAAAGTGTCTGCGTTACCGTTCAGTAGCTTAGCTCTTTTATTATTCAAGTAGTTTGTTAGCGTCCACACAAGCTACATTTTCCCAAACATTTCACAAGCTCAAGCTCAGTAGGTGTACTTTGATATTTGTTAAATATACAATATAACTTAAATAGTTCATTATAGTCTTATATTATTAAATTAATATATCATTTATATTAGGCCTATATATACACATATATACAGTATATATATACATATATATATATATATATATATATA